ACACCAAGGTTTCACCAGCTTTAAATTTCAAAGCCAAAATGAGTTTTTGACTGTGGTGCTTTTTGTAATGTTTTCTTTTTTTAAAGCCTATTTCTAATAAACACAAAGATCAATAAGGCTTGTACTTCTTCATTATACTTAACACAGAAAAGCCAGCTGTCTAATAATTGAAGCATCATTGTTTACTTATTGTTGCTAATCATTTTTTTTCATTGTTTGCTACATCTGAAGTTGCATATAGGCAATGTATATGACACCGGAAAACTAAACTTCTTGACAGTCATTCAGTTATTAAATGAAGCCTTGAAGATTTTAAGAAGTGAATGTCAGGAAGTTGACCATAAGGCACTAAACCTAGATATTCAGTACATTGAAGAGAAGACCAAATTCCAGAGTAAAACTTTATTGGGTCTGAGGTCAATGAGGTAAGCTTTTGAGACTTTTCCTGGGGCTCTTCACCCTTTCGGGAAGGAGGATAATGAGCTCCAGAATTTTCTTTCCAGAAAAGAAAGGAGCGTTTTATAGTTTGTACCTTTGTTTGCCAGTTGTTTTATTTTGCCCTCAATATCTGTTTGGCTTGACTAATCCCTAGGTTTTCAGATTTTCCATGTAAAATTGTTTGCAGACTTCAGTATTTTCTCCTGGCTCTCCTTAGACTTTGCTGTTGGCAATATAAAAACTGAAACTGGCTATTTGAGTAATTAGACAGTAGTAGAATTTGTGCCTCTGATTTTTTTTGGAACTTTTTTACTTGATAATTTTTAGCATAGTAAGCTCAACCTAAAATTTTAGAAGTTTAGTATTTTTTTTTAAACAGTTGTTAAAATAGTTCAAGAGAATGGCAACTCTTTCACAGCTTGAAGATTTTATCAGTTGTATCCCTCGTAAAGCTTGTATTTAGGCACTCATTGCTTTGTAGGAATTAACAGAATACATGAATGGGTGGCCTTCATTTTAAATTTGCTTTTTCAATTTTTATACTACTACAAATATGAATCGTAATATCTCACTGTCTCGAGTTATGGCTGGATACTGAGAGAGGAAAAAAGATTTGATCTCAGACAAAAGAATGAATTAGACTTTGATAGTTTCTTGCCTTCCTGTGTTGTCTGCCACCCCCTACCCCAACCTTGTGATCCTTGTTTTAAAATATTGCAGGCACAAGCTAAAGCGAGAGGATCATGTGTCCATAAAGAAATCAGTTGTTGAAAAGCAAAAAGAATGGGATATGAAGTGGGAAAACATTCTTGGGCAGTCTCCTTTTGGTTTAATTAAAGTTCAGAATCCAGTAAGTGTCCATTGGAGGTGTGAGATTTCGGTGGAAGAGGGAAGGGAAGGGCAGTATGGGTGGGTGGGGGAACATATATGCTTTTACTGGAGTTGGGGGAGATGAAACGATCTATTTACACAAAATTATTTGTTATCTGTATTTGAAATAAGATGGTGTAGCACAATGTAGGCATGCATCATTTACAATAACCAGTTATAGCTACTGCTCCCCATCCCCATTTGGGAATTCAGAGGTGGCTACTTCAGGTCATGATTGAGCCATGGTGACCAAAGCCCTGGCAAACATGTCTAGGAATTGTCCTTATAACTCTTCTGTCTGCATGGCATAAGGTTGCACTGTGCCAACAGATCCAAACAGGTCCAGTTGTGAGCGTAACGTTTTAAATTAATGTTAAAATAAAAATGACTTGCTCATTGAGTAAGGGATAGCTGCTAACTCCCTAGTATCTGCTAAGCCAGTTCTCAACCTTTTTAGTCTTGAGGCAGCCCTTGGAAAATGCCAGCTCAGATCACAAGGTGTCAGAATGTTTTTGACACTAAGAATTCCTATTTAAAATCTCTGAGTTTATCTTGTTAATCATGTTTGCACACCTAAACAGTGCTAACATTGTGTGGTACCTGTGGTTCCCCATAAAAGAATCTAAAGGCACCCCAGGGTGCAGCAGCAACCTGTTTTAGAACATTTTGCATGGTCTGACCTTTGGTTTAACAAATAATACCCTTCAGTAGTGTCACGCTAATTATGTAGAGTTTCACAAAAGTGACTGCAGGCATCGCTTGTATTTTCAAAGGCACTAGATTTGTTACCAGCTATGTCTGCCCTCTCTTTTGATCCTGCAACTGAAGAGGCTTATAAGAGCAGTGTCTTCTGTCAATATCCAGCATCAGTTCCAGGTGGGTAACTTGATAATTTTTTTGGTCACTCCTACAAAGTTCTTTGAAATTGGGAATTCCTTTCCCATTACTCTGCTCCTTTTCTGAATGGCTCTTTGCAACAGAAGAGGGCTGAGCAAAGTTTTTCTCTGGAGCATTTCTGTACTCCTTGGGTTGTTAGAGACCAGTCAGAAAAAGTCTGTATTGTGTCTCTTTCTTGTTCCACAAACTGGAAAGTTGGGCTGAAAAATCAGTCATTGGCCTAAGAGCTGCCATCCTGTCAATACCACTTTCATCCTGCTGGTGGAGCCAGCTGCTTCAGTATGGCTGACCCCACCAGCAGGCTGAAAATGTAGGGTCCTGCATATGGAGTGGATTTTGTTCTTCCCCACTTAGCAAACATGCTAAAAATAGAACCAAAAAAGTCCTGGAATTCTGATTATATTTCAAACTATAGCATGTGAGGTTTGACTTTCCTTTTTTTGCCATATAGACTTCAGATGAGGTGCTTTTAACCTGCAGTATATACTGTTCTAGCAAAGAACTGGCCTGCATATGATTGAATCTCTTCTATTTCATTTAGATGATACCTTTTTTTTCTATGGTCTTTCATCTGCACAATAACCACAGTTTACTCCTTGAACTTAAATTAGAATTTACTTATCTTATACTGCCACAGCTACAATGGAATGTACTAGATAAACCATCCCATTTAGGCTCTTGGTTGAAGTGGGAGAGGGAGGTAGAACTAATTGTGTTGAATTTTACCCATTACTACTGAAGGATTT